AGCCTCTAAAACAGCCCTTTTTAGAAAATTTTCACTGATTGGGCTTGTGCCAGTGAAAATCTTCAGTTTTCCGACTCCAGATTCTCTGGAATTTCCAAACTAGAAATTTGCTTTCGATTTTTATCAAAATTTTTATTTGCATAGGAATTGTAGTTTTTATTTTGTTCTTTTCTGGTATTTTCAAATGAACCCGAGCTGAAATTTCTATTTTGTTCTCTTCGAGTATTTTCCGATAAACCAGAACCTAACACCCCGGACTGTAAGGGTGATGAAAAATTACGAGAATCCCCAAAATAGTAGTCCGCCTGTCTTAAGCGACTTAAGGCTTGCTCCAAAGTAGCAGCACCTACAAGCAATACCGAAATATTTGGAGGAAAATGCCGGGATATTGATGATATTAACAACTCTGTAGGAAAAGGTGGCTGTAGATGTTTAGCTAAACCAACATATAAATTAAAATGATCTACAAAGGAACCATCCGTGAATCTGCCCGATTCTATTCGCAATTTAACCTGGAGTTGCCTAGTAGCGCCCCAAAAATTTTCAGAAAAATTAAATTTAAATTCCTGATACGATTCAAAACTAAATAAAAAAGCATCGGCCCACAGACGAGCTTTGCCTTTGAATAAATTGATTAGGGATGAACAAAAATCTCGGAAATTACACGTATTAACTGAAATGACGCTTTCTATTTGCTGTAAAAAATCTATGGGGTGCATAGATGCTGTGTCATCAAAAGAAGGTAAATTTTTAAGCTCTTTGGCATAATTTTTTGTTGTATTCTGAGACTCATTATTGTTACAATTATTGTTTATTAGATTCATATTGATCATTGAGCAAACTACTTGTGAAACTATTTTACCTATGTCTTGATTTGAAATAGATAAAGGCGGTATTTGAGAGTTAATATTTACAGGTCTTGAAAAATTATTGGGCAAATTCCCATTAAAATTTGGTGAAGGCGAAAAATTTTGCACATTAAAATTTGGCAGAGATGAAGAAAAATCATTATTGTTGCCATAATTTGCAGGAGCCTCTGCATTGAAAAGCTGAGGCCCTGAAGCAGTTGGCTGTCTCCAAGCGTCATCAAGTAGCCCTGGACCTTCAGTATTTAAATATGGATTGATCCTACCTTGATTCAACATCCCATCTTCTGCTTGGCGGCGATGGTTATCAGAGAAGCCTAAATTTCTCCTTCTAGGCAACAACGGATCGGTTCTTCTTGCAGCAACACCTCCCATTTCAAACTCTTTCAAGTGCGCCGGTTGGCGTATTGGACGACGACCTCCTCCTGTTGTTTTAGGAGTTGTTCCAGTAGCAATAGTAGCTGTGGCTGTAGTGTTGGTTGCTCCTGGTGTCGCACCAGATGGCGAATGTTGTAAATTCGGCATTTTAGAATTTTAGCCCCTTGTTGGCCTCCTCGTTGAGCGCCAAATGTAAAGGAAGGAAGGTTAAGGCCAACAAAACACAATTTGTTGAAGGGCAAACGTCTTTTATTATCACCAAACAAACTGAAAAAAAATAGGGAAATCATTTTTCGTAGAACCATTTGTAAGGATTGTAAGATTTAGAGCATCAATTAATAAATTCTTGGCATAATTATTAATCTTATAAAGTATGAAAGATTGAAGAAAATACAAAATCAACAATCAGCCTCGAATACACAATAAAGCAAAATTAGATACATACCTGACACTTAGTTAAATTCAGGTTTGATTTAAATAATAAAAAGGAAACCCACGAACTTTCAAACTACACAGTTGTCTGTTTGAAAGGCGCAAATAAAAGAAATTAGAATATCGATTTAGTCAAGATTCCTGAATGCAAAATTGAAAACGCAGCAAAAAAAACAGCTTTGGAATGCGGGTTTCAGGAACCAAAAAAAATATATAATTTTAAGAATAATTTTAAAATAAGTAGGTCCCTCTGTTAGGCAGAGGACGAATTTTAATTGTTGTTAATAAGTTTATATTAGAGAAAAGTTTATGTTTAATTAACTTTAGGTATACCAGGGAAAAATTCATACAGAGGACGCTACTGAGGCCAAGAATAAATATTCATCAATGATTATTATTACTGTTAAAGTGACGTAGGCACTTTATCAAATGGTTCCCTATTAGATTCCGTTACAATAGTTGATTAGTAGGCCAGGAGCCAAGTTAATTATCTGGAAAAATCTGGAAACTTTGGAAAACGAGCTGAAACTTTGTGTTGACATGTTCTTTATGTTTATATGAGCATTTTCTTTACATTCATTAACAAAAACATAACTTATTAGAGCTGAATTCCATTTTTCAAATGCCTGGATTATGCCTCAGGTTTTCAGGTAAATAAGCAAATTAAGTACAGGTTGGTCCACTATGAGTAAATTGAACTTCTGTTGATGTTGAGGTTTTAAAGTATTTGATGTTTTTTCAATGCTCTTTCCATGTTATTAGCACATTTTAATTGATTTGAGTCATCAAACTACAAATCCACGAACAATTTTCCTGCCGCTGTGTTATTTTTTTTAGGTGAGTTCCCCTGTAAGCAAACAAAGTCCAGAAGTTATCTGAGCATAATCAATATCACTTCTGGTGAAAATTGCTACACGGATTTTTGAGAGGTACATATTTGTGACGGAACTTAGCTATTGCCCCTTTTTCGGCTTTAGTCAAACCGCACCAGGGATGCCAAAAGTTTTTACTTTGACTGACTGTAAAAATTAACCATTAGGTGTTGGATCATTTAAGCCTTGTATTGGGTTAGGGGTGCCTTGATTCTCATTTATACAAATAAAACGCTGAAATAGAATAGTTATCAATTTAATTAATAAATGAAAGTAATTCGATATGGTTATCAATCAAATCCTATCTGAAAATTCCTAGTTGGACGTCCAGTCGAACTACAAATTTTATAGTAATCTAAAGTAAGTTTTCTAAAGTAAAGTATCTTGATTTATAAAAGGTAGGGAAATCTGATACCAAATGATAATAATATCATTTATGGTTAAATAAATGTTCAATGAACGAGAACACAAATTAACTAATTAAATGCCCGAGAGCACAACATAAATAATTTATCAACTTCAATCAGTTCACTGCAATCACAAAATGTTTTTGAGCACTTTTCTGCGGAAGTCTGTAAACAATATGTGCAAGAAAAGTCTTTTTATATGCTCAGTTTCTATATACAAATGTACAAATGTTAATTTCACGAGTGTGAAAACCAAATTTCTGCATTAAACGTTGGAAAACACTTTAATTTATAGTGCAGTTCAACCGAATCACTAATCCGTATTTATTGTTCGACTGTTAGAGAAATTGTAACGGTCTTACTTCCTTAATCCGGTTCATGCAGATAAATCCACAAGGCGATTATTTATCCATTTATCGCCACTATTCACACTGGCAGCTAGGGAATTTTCCACTGAGATGAAAAAAAAAACACAATGATAGACAGGCGCGTTAGAGCCCGTCGAGAGTGAGAGAGCCAAAAGACAATCGCGTAGGAGAGAATTTTGCTCGTCCGAGGTGACTTGTAACAATAAGGGGTTAATTACATGAATTGTAATCAATAATTATAGACCGTGTCAGGCCTTGAGACACAGAGAGTAGTATTTTACTATAAATCGCGCGTACTAACGGGGGTTTTTCCTCTGGAGAGCATTCAGAGGGAGCGAGGGTGCGAACTCCTCGCTTATTCTAATAGTACTAAAGAATGTGCGTTGACTAGACTCTGCCAGGGGAGCAGATCGCAAAAATCTAGAAAACAATGTGGCGGCTGACCAATCACAGCAGCGAGAAAAGTCCACTGCGTTATAAGGTAATGAAGAAACCTGCAATTTTACCGGTTCAAAGGGTTGTTGTAGCCGGTTTTACAGTATAAATAGTCCAGCAATAGCATCTATTTTTAGAATAAAATTTTTATGGTAAATAATAGAGAAGAAAATTATATTAAATTAGAAATAATAAAAATTAAACCTGTTGTGAGTTATTTTTGCAACAATATTCATTTTGAAAAAATAAAATGATGAGCTCCTAACTTTTCTCTTTTTTTCCTAAAAGTTTCATAGTTTTTCCTTCAGTAGGTAGTTTTCCAGAAAAAAAATCAAAGTGCAAGAGGGCGCAATATTTTTACTTTATGTGCATTTTGCAAGTCGATTTCCATTAATTTCCCATTTTGGTATTTTCTACTGAAAAAGTTTGAAATTTTAGTATGATGAGCTCCTTACCTTCCTCTTTTTCTCTTGCAAGTTTCATAATTCTTCCTTCGGTGGTTTTCCAGAAAAAAATTAAATGTAATAGGGTGCATTTTTGCCTAATTTGGTTGATTTTGGATTTTCATCAATTTCCCAAGATGTTATTTTCCACTGGAAAAGTTTGAAATTTTAATATATTGAGCTCCTAACCTTCCTCTTTTTTGCTGAAAGTTTCATAATTCTCCCTCTAGTAGTTTTTTCAGAAAAAAATTTAAATGTAAGCGGGTGCATTTTGGCTTCATTTGGATTTTGCAAGTTGATTTTCATTATTTTCCCATTGTTTTAAATTTTAGTATGATGAGCTCTTTACTTTCCTTTTTTTAAAACCTTAAATAAATTATGACTTGCTATATAGCACTCTCCCAACTTGTTCAGACGTACGTGCAAGCGATTTTTGCCGCAACCACTTTCCGTCAATTTTGCGACTGGCTGGGAGAGGACTGTCGGACTCTGTTTACATTTCGCGAATCTTTGGGAGTACTCCCACACATAAACTTGTGATAGTTTGAATGCTCATGTAAACTATGCTTAAAAGTTACATACAAATATCATGTGAACGCCAAATAGAGCTAAAAAATATGGAGTCTGCGCATTAAAATTTGAAAACCCATCCAGGTGATTCACTTTACCCATACTGATTCACTTAACCCCGTTTGACGGTACCTGATTGGATATTTTAGTAAATCCCTTGGAAAAGCAGAGGGAAATTGCAAAGGAGCTTCTAGGCAGTAATGAAACCCATGGTCAAATAAAAAGTAAATGAACGAATATAACATAAACATATATTAGTAACGAAAAAGAAAATGCGATATAAAAGTATTAGGCAAAGTAAAAAAATAATAATCTATCAATAAACAGCATAAAATGTGTCCCAAAGTTTTTCTATATAAAATAAGTACCTACTCTGGACTGGGTAGCAAAATATTTTGGACATATCAAATATATTTGTGCTTAATTTTTTTTAAGTCATGCAAAAGCTATCTGTATTAAATAGAGAGAGAGAAACGCACAAAAACAGAGGTAAGTAATTGCTATTAAAAAATATTTGTTAATTTATTATTCTTCTGAATGTAGATCAAACCAAACATTATAGGGTTGGGCCAGATTTAGTTTGCTAAGATCAACAATAACCTGGAAACAAAAAGATTTTAGAAATTCACATTTACAAAAATTATCTACCAACCTGTCCCAACATGTTACTGCTAAAAAGTCGTTTTTCTGTACCAACAGTCACTTCCAGTTGTTTACTACCCAATTCTGCCTGGTTTATCACATATTCGAATGTTTCATCAAAAACTGGATTACAATTATCCTTTACAACCTAAAGAAGGGTTTTTAAAAATTATAAATTGTATTAACACAAATTGGTGGCTACCTGAGTTTTCCTTTTACTATCTTTGGACCGTTCCGGAAGCAAGTATAATTTCACATAAGGATCTGGGATGTTGGAGGGATCTTTAAGGGGAATATTGCTGGAAAAAAAAGACACATAAAAATTAGGAAATCTGGAAATTAAAATATACTTACGCTACTTTGTGCACCACCACAATAAGTCTTTGTCTCTGCACGCTATACCTCAAGGTCAGTTGTATTCTGCCTAAACCAGCTTCACCAGCGGATCTATATAATAAATTTAGATAAATTTAAAAACATTTCAAGTTTATATAACGAAATTCTTACGTTGTCATGCTAGGAGTACGATGTACCAAATGATCACCAGCACCAACTTCAGGTGCTACATTCAGGGAGGAAATTGTAGAATCTTCAATGGCTTCGTCAACAGAATCTTGGAAAGAATTTCTTGCAGATGATGTAGCTTTTTCTTCTGTTTGTCGTATGAATGATTGCCTGGAATCTAGAGAAGTGATTTTTGATTAATAGTCCAGTAACTAAGTTTATTTATCTGGAAAATTTTGGCCTATTTTTCATATATTCTGAAATGTTGTTTTTTGAATGTCTGTTCTGCCACCGACGTTACAATTTCAAAGAATATGTGACCTGGATACTTCTAAACTAAATTAAAGTACATACATAATTTCCACAACAACATGCCTCTATATTTTTTGAAGTGGAACTTCTTTTGGGGCATTGTGAATTGTTAATTTCCAATACGTAATTACTGGACTTTAATAATTGAAGTAAAAATTTCACCTGTGGAGGCTGTTGAAACTGTAGAATCTGCTCTTTCGAACGATGCTGGTTGTGGGTCACTTTGAACTTCTTCAGCTGAAGTGCGTTTTAAAATCTACACCCAGAAATTTACTTGAAATAATTCTTTAAAATTTATTTTTTTACTCACCCTCAAATGCATGGATAACACAATTTTACTCTCTGGACCTGATTTGACTAGACTGAATGGTTCTTTGATAATTTGCAAATTCGTTTTGTTGGCTAGACTTTTAATTTTAAAAGTAAACTGGCCGATTTCAGAATTTGTTTTTTTGTCGATTATGTTTAAATAGAAAGTGTCATTTTCAGGATTGGCCACCAAAAAAGTGAATCCTTGTTCCCATACTGGGTGGATGGTTCTCATTTTATGATCAGTTTCTTTTGTGGAACCACCTACTCTGAGAGTGGCGTAAGGGTCTGGTTTTGTTGACATTCTTGCTTGCTAGGAATGAGAGATTTTTTAAAACTTCATAAAAGTATTATTGGGCTACTTACAGGTAGATTTTTTGCAGAATCAATAAATACAGTTAGTAACGCCGTATTCAGGGACGATACTTGCAACATCTGAGTTTCTGCTAAAATCTTAGGAAAAAATCTCAATCAGCGCCACTAAGTCATCATGCATGAACATGTACTTACTCCTTTAAGATCGTTGTAATCTTTGCTTAACGTCAGCCAAACAAATCTAAGGTGGACCATTCCATGTTTGGCTTGTTCCAATGTAACCCACTAAAACGCATTTTCAAATCTCGATATTTTAATTGATTAATTTGAGGAGAACTTACTGTGTTTTCGCTACCCTTGGCTACAATGTTGGATATTTCCACAGTTGCTCTAAAAAACATCAAATAAGTAGGTATCAACTTATTGTATGGTATTTTTTTTTTTAATGGAGAGAATTTTATTTTTCCCTGCCATTAAAATTTCAATTATTAATGAGGCAATAAAATTCAACTCTCAAATAGCAAAACTAGTGAGGACATAGTGAATTGTATTATAATTTTATTCTGTCATCAATAAATTGGGTCTTAAAAGTCTAAACTGTACCTGCCCAACCATTCGTCCTTTTGAACTTTATCCTTATCAAACAAACATATGTCCATAAGTTCTCCCTCCACACAACTGGTTACAGAGTCGATCAGAAACTGTATGGACACATTTATACACACAAAAGCCACAAAGAAAACCATTTAATTTGAGAGCTTGAAAGCAGCAACAAGCAATAGTTGAATTTTCTAAGCAACAAGCATAAAAAAAACAGTACATTGTTTGATCAGACCTTCCCAAATAATCATCCTCTAATAATTGGCCCGGAAATTTAGGATCCCAATCGTAACACGAGCAAACTAGATACTGAGCCTCTGATGAGCTTACGGTAGCCTATGTGCAATAAATTAAATAAAGTTTTACAAAATTTGAGGAGAGTACAAAACATAGCAGCCATATAGAAAGCAAAGCCCAAAAAACCTACAAGTATTACCTCGATTACTTAATATTTTTTTCGGAATCCTAGACCCAAAGATTTTATTTGTCTAAATATATCTATTAATTACCTTCCAAGACTTTCATCATCCCCAGTATCGTCTTTGTCCCATAAATGAATGTAGAGTTGTTGACCATTGGATTCCAGTATATTGAACTGATTAGTTTGCAAAACAAAGCAATTATTTTCATGAGGATTATTAACAAAAAATGTAGATAAAATAAATATGTTTAGGGAACGAAAATTGGCTTTCATTTAAGTTTAAGTCTTACCTCAATTTCGGGACCAAAACATGTACCTACTCAATTCAAAATACTTTTTCGTCATAAAAACCCAAAACTAAGCGTATGAGACTATGGAGAAATGCATCACCTACTAGAGTTTTTAAAGATATAATTGTGAGTCTAATCTAAATAAAAAAGCAAATAAGCTTTTGAAAGCAGACAAAAATGTCTTCGGTGGCCAGATTTGAAAAGAATACAATTTACCTAGAAAATAAATTTTTGATTTAATGTTTCATTCCTTAAACATATTTGTATTTGAACACTTGTCATAAAATAGAAAAAAATTTTACCTCACACCAATAATCCCATTTTGGATCCACAGTATTATCAATGACTTTGGTTTTAAACGTCTGAGCTCCCACTGTGACAACTGCATATGGATCAGATTTGCCCTTACCCAGCATACTGATGTCTTTTTTCATTAGGTGTTTAGCTTCCACTACATGAACACGTAAAACTCCCTTCAAAATAGACAAAATTAGAATAAATTTGATAAGCCACCGTGAATTTTTACCTCTGGTTCTGGGGTTTTAAGTTCAATAGCCTCAACTTCTTCACTCAATTGAATAGGGAATTTGTTGGGTAATACCATCATGTTTGCAACAGTTTCCACTACGATGCGTCTTAAAATGTCACTAAAAACGAACACAACATTAATATTAAAGGCAACAAAGGTATTTTTTGGGAAAAAATTATGCAGGTCCTTGCTAACAAAAATATGAAAATTTTAAATTGTGAAGACATAGGATACACATCATGGAGCTTATGATAGCGATAAGTCCTTAATTTTTTGATATCCTCATGATATTCATTCTAAAATACTAATATGAAGCGCCTTAAAAATGTGATTACACTTCTGGTTTTATTTTCCAATATCTCAGAAACTGAGATCAGCAGTGCAATTTCAAGAAAACTTAGGTTTGTTCCAACACCTAAAATCTGTGCATACGAATTGCGCATTCAATGAAGAAATTTTATGTTTTGCGCCGATTCGTGGCGGTAAATTGTATGGTATATGTTTTTTGCTGTGTATGATCTGGTGAAAACTAGAAGTATTCAGAAGTTTCAGGAATGCAGCACAAATTCAGAAAAAGCCTATCAAACATTTTTCTCTGCTTTCTCATTATCATTATCAAAGTGAAGTAAATATTACCTTAATCCTGGCATATCTAGGACATCCGCAATGCCCACCAAATTGAAATCAATATCAGGATTATTGAGGAAAAATACTTGTAGGCCTCCAACTAATGGCGGTGAAGTAATAAGCGGTTTCATAACGACTCTCAACATTCCATGAAGCTAAAAAAATAAATTATAGTGTAAAAAAAAAACTTTTTTTTTGATATTATCCTTTACCTGGAAGTCTCTAATGCCTCCCCTTATTCCAGCTAAACTGAATGTTATATCACAATCGCCTGCATAACTAAAACAAAAATTAATTGACAAAAACAATCAGAAAAATGAGACAATAATTCTTACAAAATATCAAGATCCATTATAATTTCGTTTCTATCGATGTTTTTGTCGTAGACTTTAACGCCACCAATTCTGAAAGGCTTGAAAAGTCAATTAGAAGCTTTTTTCATCAAGACTTCGAAAACAAATTCCACTTACCACTGTGCCTAAAATAATCCGATCAAACTTGAAGCCCGAAAGTTTATATTTTTCCAAGCTCTGTTGTAGAGCAGGCTGAACCGAGTCTCGGACAATTTGTTTAGCGAAAACATTAACTGAAGGCCATAATTGTTTGAGTATCTACAATGAACTTCTTAAGAATTTTCAATAAATAAGTTACACTAAATCTTACCCTATTAATCCATTCAGCTCTTTCAATATCAGGGAAAAAGACCTAAAACGAAAAAGTACAATAAAGATTCCTAATAGAATAAGTAGGTAAGATTGTTCTTACCCATGCTGGTAAGTCGTTAAGCCTAGCCAGCACGACTTCTTTTTCGCTAGCCACAGCTGTCATTTTGGCAGTAAATCTTCGCCTGTCGCTGGATTTTTTCCATTGTTCTCGAATTACGGAAAGTACCAGAGGTCCTAGGAACCACGCTACTGACCAGTGCATATAACCTGCCAAGTAGACTATGCCTATTATGGAGGCCTGAAAATGGTTAGGTATTTTCATGATTTCTCCAAAAATTATTTATCAAGATAAATTAATAATAAAGATGATGATAAGTCAGCTTTGAATTTGGGCTAAGTTTTATATTACGGAAAAATATCATGTCCATTTAGTCTCTGGAAATCTTGGGGCAATTACTATTTTAAACATAAAAGTGCCATGCAAAAAAAATTACTTAAGAAATTACTGAATTGCTTAATCACTATTTTCCTCATTGAGTAGGTTTTTAGGCGGCTATCATATCCGATTATTTATGTGACTAATAAGAAGGTAGAACTTATGCCTGTTGATGGAATGGAAGGCCCTCCCAGACATAAAAAGTAGAAAGAGAATTGAAGACCTGCCTTGAACCAACAGAGGGGTCCAGAAGTCATCCACAAGAGCGTCTGAACCAGAGTTGGAAGCTGAATCTAAAACTGGCAAACATGTTCGGCAAAACTATATTCTATGTAAGATTAGCAAGATATTACTCTAAGCCAGGAGAATGAAAATTTCAGAATCTCGTGCTGTAGTTTCTGTGGAGATGACAACTCACATAAGACGAATAGGGATCTGATGTCGAAGTTGGAATAAATCATATACAGTGTTATACCATCTAACCACACTGGGTGCAAAATGGTCTCAAGTTTTCGGACACTCAAGGCGCATTAAAACACAGACTTGTAAAAAAGTATTATGTTAGAGTACTATCCAAAATATTAAAGTTACAGATTTTATACGATATTGTACATAAAACTATACCAAATGAATTAAGCAGGTTCAATGAAATGTAGCTCACATGTAAAATCATGTGGTCAACTTTCAAATAACTTTTTTATCATTTACATATTGGGTATAATCCGAGGTATAAACAAAATATGGTGTATAGGAGAAATACTTTTGACTAACTACCTAGATTCCCTGCTTTTTCTTTTGATGACAATTCATATTTTTTTATACCTATATTGTAGGTACCTAAAATTTGTAATGTTTGTTTCTCTGTTGTAACTGCTCCTCAGGCCATGAAATCCGAAAAGATAGAGATAACCAAACATGGGAATTAACTAGAACCATTACCTAAGGAGGGACTGCATTTTGGAAAAACGATAAGGAAAAATCAATGCTCAGCTCGAGTCTCAGAGATGGAGGGAGAACTGAGGAGATATAAAGAAGATCAAAGGTGACCGAACCTTCATCATGAGAGCAAAATGGAGCGATGACCTTAAAAGGATCAAGAAAAACTTGATTGCAAAGTGTCCAGAAAAGGAAGACCTGGAAACAACTTGAGGAGGCGTGTGTCTAGCAGTGGACCCAGGAAGCTGTGGTGATGATGATGATAGTCCAAAAACTGTGTAGCATTCGATAGACTTGGGCTACATCCTATCAGATCTGGATCTGAGATCTGATGAGACTATTAAACTATAGATTGAAGGTAATCATTTTCTATTTATAAAATTTAAGGCCTATCAGAAACAGAAGAAAACCAATTGAAGCGAGTTTTTGCAAATTCTGTTAAAATCAATTCAATTATTTGCAAGACGTGCCTATCCAAAGAAAATAGTCATCATTCGATACGTAATTAAAGGAATAGCTCATTATAATCTTCAACATGCAAATAATTATCATCATAATTATTATAAAGTTGACTCATATGAAATTTAGATGCATTATTAGCTCCTGCTTAAATATTTATATGCGAATTTTATATGAAAACAAATATTTGCAATTTCTATCATAAATACATTCGATGATTCAAACAATGATCTCATATTTTTATTTGCGCTATATTTGCCATAAGCCATGAATAATAGGTAATAGGTATAGCAATCTAAGGGTATAGCAAACAATTCGATTGTTAAATTGTGCAATAAAACATCTTTATGATAAGTAAATAAAAACCACATAAAATTATGTACTCAATAAGTATTTTATTACACCTAAGCTCGTAGAATCGCCAGTATTTTTTCAATAAGTCATTGTTATTTTATTGTATAATATAATATGATAGATTTCTTCGGAACTTGAGTCAATATTTATGTATGCTCATTGCTCTTGATAATTTAGTTGTGAATAATGTACCATTTGTTTGGTGTCAGCTGTATCAGAAATCGTTCGATAATATCAGAGAGCAAATTATTTCCAAGCAAGTTTCAACACATTGATCCTACACCACCAATAATACAAATACCAGCTAAAGATGCAAAGTTCCTATATGCAGTTTCTCATGATGATTCAGAACGTCCCATTCAATTTGCTTCTCAAACGAAAAAATTCTAAGATCTCTCGTGAAAACCGCAGTTCTATATTCAAAATAGTTTCCGAGATAATCCCTCATAAAGATAAATAATGCGGGAACAGTGGTTGCAATTCCCTCCAAGTGAGATCGTTGACTTTTGTTTTGGAAAATTTTACACGTATTTAAACTATACCTCCTAAGCCGGTGTGACGTCACAGCTTAGGCGCTCGTCACTTTAAACCACCCTAACTTGAAAACGGTTCATCATAGCAAGATGCGGTTTAGATAACGTCGGGGAAGTTAGGAACACATTGGCAGAAGGATCTTTAGGATGCACCTCTGCTTGTGCTGCTATATTACTGCTTTGTCTTGCTTCAAACCGCAACCCAGTAACAACCATCCTTTTCGAAATATATCGATATGCATTTTGGTTGCTAACTTCCCCCTTGGCAACACATTGGAAGCAGGATCGCTGAAACAGGTTCCTGCATGTGCTGCTATGGTCCTGCCTCATCCTGCTTCAAATCTGACCCCGGCAACACTTATATTATTTCGAGATATAGGAATTTCCATTATGGTTGGTAACTTCTCCCTTAGCTTGGCAACACATTGGAACCAGGATCGCTCTAAAATGTTCCTGCTTGTGTTATTATGGTCCTGCCTCAAACTGCTACAATCACCCCAGCAACACTTAATATTTTTGAGATAAATATAATTATAAAAATCGCTGTAGGTATATCGAAAAAACTACGTGCCGGGGTCAGATTTGAAGCAGAATGAGGCAGGACCATAGCAGCACAAGCATGCAGGAACTTGTTTTAGCGATCCTGCTTAAAATGTGTTGCTAACTTCCCCGACATATTTGGATATCTATTCTTAGAATCTTTTGCACTAAAACTTTCATTTTTGGGTTAGTTATAGCATATAACCCCCTTTAGGTAGGTATATGCTATTTTTTTCGTCAGAAAAAAGTTCTGCAATACTTTGTTTGGTAGAGTTGGGAGAAGTACACTGTATTGAAATCAGAAAAAAAAAACTGCTCCACATTATTCTATAGGTGGAGGAAATATGGTGAAGGAAATATGACTAGCGAGCCATTAGGCGAGCTTATCACCTTTGAGAAGTACTCTTATTTGGAATGACTGCCTCATGCCTACTACTACGAGTACTACGTGCTATTTGCTGAAAACACACTCCGGATCTGAACGAATAGTCTGATGACGGTCTGTTCAGAGTCAGCGATCAAATGTGTCAGTGTAGGTACACACAGGCACAAAGAAGTCGCGATCAGAAGTAGCAAAATCTGTAGCAATTTCAATATGTTTGAAAGTTTTTCAACAACAGATTTAGGTATCATGAATCATGGCGATTATGAAATGATAATGAACATCTTAATAGCAAGTGCCCTTGGAATATTTGGATACATTCGGGAAGTCATGTTTTCCAGATTTTTGTAGGCGCTGTGCTGAATATCTTTTTTGTGCAAAATTGTACCATTCTTAAGACTTCAGACAAATTCAATCAGTTGCTTTTCCATTATGTCTTGAGTGCAGGTTATAACCAAATTGTTATTACCACTAAAAAAAACTGATCCGTAGGCAACATCTGACCCATTTATACAAACTTGTGTTTTCCCGCCAAGGGTACAGTCAATGCAAATGGTAGAGTGTAATCTAAGAAAAAGTGAGGACTTCTCAGTAGTTCTCGTTAACAATGAACATTCGCTAGGAAACATTTAAAATGGTTGCACTGAATAAAGAAATAAAGCATTGTCGTAGTCTAAATCAACATAGCAACAGTCCAGGGTCTAACACTCTAGAACAACATCTTTCTATTTTATATTTGAATGCTCAGTCCATTAGAAATAAGGTAAATGATATAGAAGCTTTGGTAAATAGTTTAAATCTTCCAGATGCTATTCTTATAACCGAAACCTGGCTATCTCCAGATGTAGCTGCCCATTTTGGTTTTGATCTGTACAAATCAATTTATGTTAGTAGAGATAAGAGCGGTGGAGGCATTGGCATTCTACTTAACAATAAATACAACTTCAAAGAACTTGCAAAACATAACTCAAACTGTTTCATGATCTTTATTATGGTAGAAAAATGTGATATTATTGTAGAAATAATAAGACCAAACTTTGATTACAATTTATTTTTGCAAACCTGTGATGAAAAATTGAATATTATTTCTAATAAAAAAAAAGACAGCCTGAATATTTGGAGATTTCAACCTCAACATTTTAAATTTGAGCCCACAGCAGCAAATACTTCAGCTCACAATTGAGTCAAATGGATTTACCATAATCGATAATCATATACCATCAAGAGTAACTCAATATTCTAATACCTTGATTGATTATGCATTAACTAATAATGGTAATTATGACTCAAGTTTATCTCTAATAGACAGTGCAATTTCAGACCACTGACTGCAATACTTGAGCATAAACTTTAAGAGAATAAACACAAAATGCAATAGCTATACGGTAACTACTTTAAATAAAGAAGCTTTTTAGGCAAATTTAGCTGAAATTGAAACCTTGGGGTCTAATCCCAATTTATTATGTAATCAAATAATACGTTCTTATAATAACAATTTGCATAATAGACACTATAGCAATAGGTTTCATTCTAAAAGTGCTCCTTGGTATAATGCGAGACACTTTGAACTGATGAGGAGGCGGGACTTTCACTATCAACGACATAAAATGTTTCCACGCAGGGTCTATTTAAATGAACTTTACAAATCAACCCAAAAA